GTTCAAAGGGACACAAGTGCGGTATCATTTGGGACCATTCGGGACAGTGCCCAGTCCAATACTGAGAGAATATTGACTGGCAATAGAGCATTTTGATTGGTTGATTTTAGTTATTGGCCCTCTGACTGCCAGAGTCATGTAATAAAATCAATTATTGTACATTTTTAAAGTGCTACTGCGATGAAATGTCTGCATTTCATTTTCCCAATTTTCTGGTGTTAACTTCACATTTCGGCCCTGTTTACAAGCAAGGAGGGTAACCTTTGTGCTAGGGTTACCCTACCAGACGGGTCAAAGATAGCCCGGGTTTACAAGCAGAATTTCACAGGTAGGGTTACCCTACCACCTGGGACAACTCACCTATGCTTGGTAACCGCACACATTGTTATCAGTGTTCAAAGGGTCTGGAAACAAGTAAAAAGTCGTCCCGGGTAGGCGAGTTATCCCCAGGAGAGTGTTTACAAGGCAGCTAGGGTAACCCTAGCCCTTAGCTAAGGTTACACTAGTGCTAGGGTAACCCTAGCTGCCTTGTAAACACGTTGATGAAAAACAGAAGAAATGTGGGAGCGTTAGGGTAACCCTCCTGCCAGGGTAACCTGGCAATTTTTTGTTATTTAAATAAGAACTGTGAATGAAGAGCTAAAGTAAACCTTATTTGTGAACCAATTTTGTTTTGAGCCATAATGAATTTCCAGCTATTTTATTGTCTTGAAAATGTACCTATTAATATTGTTCTCAAGCATTGTGGTTAGGTTTTGACAAGGATTTTGTCTGGAGATGGATTTAATATGGATCAAAGAGTAAAGAACCGACCACTGAATGGTTCTTGAACAAATAAGATAAGACATTATGTCATCTTTTATTGGACAAGACTGGTCAAGACTGGAAAAAGTAAAATGTTACTTCAACATGATCTTCTCCAATTTCAAAAGAGTTTTGGATATTATTTGTGATGCCTGAGAAGGCTGAGTTTTACAAAGGGGTAACCCTTTTTTAATCCTCTCAACAGGTACTTGTTCTGTGGCTGAATCATGAAATTAACCTGAAAAAAGAAAAAACAAACAAACAAACAAAGTGGTCCTTGGCACCTAACACTAACCTCAGCAGTGATTCCAATAAGAGCTTCAGCTCTTGTGTAGAACTCTTCTTTAAGTGAAATCACAATGCACTGGAAATGCTCTCTGGTTTCATTAATAATGTATCTTGCAACCTTAAACAACAGCATTAAATAAATATGTGGAAATTTTAATAAAGTGGCTAGGAAGAGAGAAGTGACACTTTACCTTAGCAAGACCTTTCAACATATTAAAGTGTTCAATTATTGCAAACCATGCTGAGAATTGACTTAACAATCTGATGATTCTTAAACACTGGTTTAAAGGGTACCAAAAATTACTGATTTGCAAGTATGGACATAAACTCATATTAAAACTGCTAACCTGTCATGAAAAAAAAAAAATTATAGCACTAGTTCTTGTGTGACAGTATTTAGACATTTACCATATATCAATCAGAAGATACAGTCCATCTTATGTGAATAAAGTGCTGTGAATGGTTACCACCTAATTCACCAATGTTCTTGCAATACATGTTGATCTAAACTGGTGGTATTTTCCTCACAATTTTTTGATTAGACATATAAGTAGGTTTACTTGATGACCAAAAGGTGGCAGATAAAAGGAAATAAGGCTACAACAAAGCAATAGATCTTAATTCTCACACTGAGAACTTCAAGTACGACTCTTACTGTATTGGCAAGAGCAACAAGAGATTCTGAATTTAATCACTTAAAAATTATATAAAAAATCTTTAAAACAACTCAGTGAAAAAATGACAACTAATACAAATAGTTTCACTTAAATTTACAAATGACAGAAAAGGCAAAATGAAGAAATTTATTGTTTGCTATAAAAGTTATGCTTGACCTCTCTAAGAACTTGCAAAGATGTGTGATGGGAATGTTGGGTGTAAAATGAGAAATAAGTGAACATTACAAATGAACAATACTCACCTTATTGATGTTGGTGTTGTCCAGGGCTGCATCTATTTCATCCAAAACAAAGAACGGGGCAGGCTGGTAGCTTAAGAGATTCAGAAAATAAATCAAAATAAATACATTGAAAGCAATCTTTGAAAATAAGGCTTGGAAAAAAAATTCAGGGCTGTAGTGGACTTAAAACCATGACCTCAGCAATACCATTACTGTGCTCTACCAAATGAA